AACCGCTCTTCCACATAACCATCCCCTCTCCTGTTATTCCCCCAAGTAAAGAAAGCTCCCTTCTGATCTTGTTCTTGCATTTCCATGTCCACTATAAAATCTCTAAAAGGTAAGAAACTGTTATCTGATCTTACCAGCCCACCCCTTTTTTCCTCATTGTTCACAATATCGTTCCAATCTCCAGCAATTGCCCAACAGCTCCCCCAATTCCCCTTCCTATCCAGCAAAAACTCCCATTGCCTACTCCTCAAATTCCTGTCAGTGCTTATATACACAAAGACCAACCAACACCATTCACTCATACCAGGACCCCTGACTTCCACCTGAATACAGAATTCATTTCCTTCAAGCTTTCTGATTTCAACCTCCTGATCCCACATCAATAAAACACCACCTTTGCCCTTCTCAGGTTCCTGCAGATGCCATCTACCTTGGAACCCCAGCTTATTACATACAGTTTTGGTAAAATATTTGTTTTTTTTGTTTCAGATAAGAAAATAATATGTGGGTGGTGGATTCTTCTTGAATCCTTGATTTGGGAAACTGTACAGGGCCCACCCAGCCCTCTACAGTTCCACACCATGACCTTCATTGGTCACATTGGGGCCACTCCAGGCTGGCCTTCTCCACCTTCTTAGAAGATAATTTAACTCTCTTTCCCATATGTTCTTCCTCCTTGTTCTGCAAATCAACCACTTGAAGATCTTGCTCCTTATTTCTCTCCCTTTTCCAGCCACTAAAAGATAAGGAATTCCCTTCAATTACTGGACTTCTCAAAAGTCTACCAGCTTTAGCTGCAGCTCTTCTCCATGTTCTCCTACTATCAGCCAGCAACACTTCAGCTTCAACTCCAACCTCTATCAATGGAGAATTATCTTCTTCAATCACCATGATATCCCTCTTCTCATCACCCTCTTTCCTGGTCTCCCCTTCTGCAATCTCCTCTTCCTCACCCAAAGAAGACACCATCACCAACTCCAAAGATTGACCACCCACTTTAGCACTAAGAGATTTATGAACAGAAGAGCCACCTTCTCTATTCTCCCCTTTCTCAGAATGTGGTGGATGCCTCGAGGTACTAGCTGCAGCATTGGTGTCCTTTTTAGGGTTTGGAGCAGGAGAACTCTCTTTAGGTTCTGAGCCACTATTAACCGAATGTCTGTTCCCATAGATGAAATCAGCAGCTTTAAGCCAGTCGCCAAATTGTCCTTCTTGCAGACATCTGTTTTCAATATCCATTAGCCGAGTTTCACAATTTTTATCGAGATGGCCAATGCACCCACAGTACTAGCACAAATTTACTAAGCGTTCATACTTGAATTGAACCATCGTCTGCTGGTCTTCGAGCTTCACCACTGTACATCGAGGCAATGGCTCCTTCGTATTAATGGTTGCCAATAGCTTGATGAAACTGCCCTCGTCCCCTCCTAATCTGCAGATAGTGACATTCTTTACCCCCTCAAACACCTCCCCTATTTTCAACCCAACCTCACTGCTCATCCAGTTAAAAGGGACATTTAGCACATGAACCCACAGGTTCACTTGGTCGAAACTTCGATGTCTGCTGGTTAATCCCCTCCGCCATTCTCTTAAGACCAGGTATTGATTCTCAAATAGCCAACTATGCCCCGCCATAACCCTTTTCCTATCATCTTCCGATGAGAAGATGAATTGAAAAAAATTTGTTTCCAGTTCACGAACCTCTAATCTTTGGTGAAGACGCCATATTGTACTCATAGCTCGCTTTACCCCCAGAAGTGAAGCCTTGCGGTCACCAATCACTTTCCCAAACAAACTATTCACACATTCCGCCTCACTCGACACAATGTCTCTGCGCTGTATTTCGACTCCCCTCGATTCTTTAACAGATAACGAGAATTTCTGGAGCTTTTTCGTAACCTCGTCCCCCAAATCCCCTGGATCCGCCATAAACAACAACACAAATACAGAGAATTTCGCTATGAAAATCAGATCTCCTTCACCAAAGGAATAAAATCACTCCCACCTGAGAGAATCGCACCCGCTCCCACCTGAGAGAATTCCGCAATAATATTATTCTAGTTGGATGTTTTATTATTTATTTCCATTAAATATGAATTAATTTTATTCCATATTAATTAATTAATTAGGAGAATAAAATTCCTACTAGAATCTTCTCTTGGGATTAGGAGACTTGGGAGTCTTCTAGAAGATGAGGATTAGTGGGAAATATATTTCCTACATTATTTATTTAATTGGAGTAAAATTAGATTTCCTAAATTAGGATTTAATTCTTTTCCATGAATATTAATTTAATTAGGAAAGGAAATTCCTACAAGGATCTTCTCTAGTGTTAGGAGACTTAGGAGTCTTCTAGAAGAGAGAGATTAGTAGGAGATCTCCTTCCTAGATTGAGTTAGTATTGGATTAGAATTAGGAGTCCTAGGCCTAATGGAATAAGCCCATATTTAGCACCTCCTTAAGGTCCCTAATGGAGCCTATAAATACACCATGTCCCAACCTCTCTTATGTGATTGTATGTTGGCCGATTTTCCCTACTACATACGCGAGGGAAATTACTTCATTCGAGAGTGAGGGAGATCCGATTAAATGCTCCACCAAGTT